CTCAATATCAGTATTTCAGAGTGTAGGTTAACTACCTGTCCTAAGGAGAAGGTGATTTTCTTCATCTTAATCCAAAACTTTCTGTCAAAACAAAATATCACACCCTGGGTGACATAAACAACAGAAATGAATTTTCTTATAGTTTTGGAAGTTAGAAGTGTAAGATCAGGGTCCCGGCAAGTTTGTTTCCCTCTGAATCTCTTTTCTTGGTTTCCAGACAGCTACCTCTCACCGTGTCCTTATAAGGTCATCCTTTAGTTTGTGTCCTGCTCCCTCTTCTTCCAAAGGTACCAGTCCTGTTGAATTGGAGCCCACTCCAATTGGAGCCCACTCCTCATTTTACCTTGTCTCCTGCTTTAAAGGTCTAATCTGCAATATAATCCAATTCTGAAGCACTAGGCATAAGGGATTCAACCTATGCAATTATACATACGCGTATTTATTTGGTATTACCCAGATAGGAGTACGGACAGAAAGACAAACTCAATGGACAGAATATGGGGGAAGTCACACGTCAGTCCATCACACTTTCCTTCTGAGTACACATTTTCTATTGGAGAATTGAGCTTTTTCTATAGTGACCGATAATGGCAATACATTTTTTTTTTCAGGAATTACCTGATTCATAATGTACAGGGGCATGTGATAACCCTACTGTTTCAAATTTTTTCCCCTCAATGCTCACCTGATAGTCAGAAATTCATAGCTGTAATCATTCTGCCACTCAAACTGGATTCTGGTGGGGCTTCAGTATATGTAGATCTGATTCTTTTTATCTTCCACTTTAAAGGTTTATGACATAACCAGGTCAGCTCTTCAGCATTGTCCTTTCCTGTAACATTGCATTTGTCTGCTAACTTGCGTGATCTCACAAGTATACTGTGAAACCCTTGAATGGGACTATGTTTTATTAATCATGTCGCATCTATTACCATCCCTAATATACAATATGTATGTCGGAGGTGCTTGTGAGATAACACTGCATTCACTTGACACTTCATTCAACAAACATGCACTGAATATCAAATGCTAGAGAAAAAGCAAGTCATCTATAATATTATCTAAATGTAGCTTTCATAATACTTTTTCAAAACAACTAAAAATGGCAAGGTAGGTAGTCTCCCCGTCTGTGTCTGTGGCTCCACATAGTGTTAGGATTGTCATTAACCTCACCATCTAGTTTGAGTGACACAGTAGACAGACCTATGCAGTTAGAGCCAGAAGATCGCCTACTTGTTCTAATGCAACTACCAGTTTCACTAAATTCTGGTCTTTTTTGTTGTAAAGTTAGGAAGTGGTCGTATTTTTGGTGCTTTCCTTCTCAGACACTCGATATTAGACAGAAATAGTAGACGATTATTATGAGATCTAATTCTTGAGCAATTTCATCTGTGTCATCTTAACTGAGGGTCTGAATGCTAACCACTAAATGCAGGGCAATTCTTATAATAGACTATTGCTCAGCAGGAACACAGGGTTATGTTACTCTTTTAATTGAAGTCATTTTAGTTCAGTCATTCGTTTCATGCCTGAGTGACTTACCATAATTCTATTTGGTATTCCCAAATTTAAGGAAAAAAAAAAAAGAAAAACAAACAAAACAAAAATCCTCCCCTGCTTACCCTATTGAACAATCTGTTCTTGATATTTTCCGGAAAGAACCAGTGTGTCTTATTTTTCAAGCTGCAGTCAAAAAATGTATAACAATTTTGTATAGAATGTCTATACTTTAAGTCAAAGCAATTTTTTTTAAAGATTTATTTATTTATTTATTTATTTATCTATCTATTTATTTATTTATTTATACAAGCACTGGGTACAGTCAGAAGCACGGGAGGGTAAGAGAATTCACCGGAGCCAGAGGCCCTAAGTCGAAGCAATTTAACCCGAACTCCAACATTTGCTCCACCACTCTGGGCTCACTCTTTCATATTTCCAAGCCCCATAGTCTAGAAGTCATAGAAGGACTTGGGCCTGGACTTGCAGAACACCTGCCACGTATTGCCCTATTTTCAAAAGTGGTTCTGAGGGAAGGCATGCCATGCAAAACAGCAAAGTGTCAGGGAATAGTATGAGCCTGATCTCTGAAAAAGTTGGTTTCAAATCTTACAAAAGAGAGACTCCCTGGTGCCTAAGGGTTAAGACTCAGAAGTTTCAGGAAGAAAATATTACAACTGTCAATAGTCTTTTTACAGGTTTCCCTGCGGTTAATATTTTGCTCTCTTTTATAATTTCAACAAAGTTTATGTATCATTTAAGGATAAATTATACAAATGATGAACCTTTTTGTCTAATGACATTATTATGTATTTCCTAAGAATAGGAAGATTCTCTTAGCGATAATATATTTATCACATCAGTACATTTATATTAGTACAATGGTTTTATTCAACACATTGTATTTCCAGCTTTGTCAATTGACCCAAATATATCCTTGATAGTGCTTTTTTCCCCTCAATCAAATATTTGGTTTAGTTGGGTATTTAATTTAACTATCATGGCATTTTAGCTTCCTTTAATCTAGAATTTTTCCACTCTTTCTGGTTTTCCTTTTCTGACATTTACATTTTTAAATAATACAACTCCCCCCCCCACTTTTAATATAAATTTTCCCATTGATTAGATTCAGGTTATGTATAGTGTTACTCCACAGGGAATAACATCTGGAAACATAAATGCCCTTCATCTCACTGATGACATTAATTTTGATCATTTAATCAAGGTGTTATCAAATTTCCCCAGCTGTAGAATTAGTATTTTATTTTCTTACAACTAGTAAGAAGTCTATGAGGAGATTTCATATAACCATGAAAATATTATTGCATTTGTCAGAATTTTCTCTTTGATTTAGCATCCTTTGATGATTAAAAATGTTGATTTTCTAACTCCAACATTCCACTTTATTTATCAATTGGCAAACAGCAGTCTATTGTGAGCAAAAGTCTTTGCTTTTCCAATTTCTACCTGCCTTTCTATCTATCCTTCCATCCATCCATCCATTCATCCATCCATCACATATCTATTTATCTACATGAAATAGCTAGTTAGGTATCTCAAATGAATTTGTTTAATAGTTATTTCCTTAAATACTATATTTTTATTTATCCCAAACTGCTGACTTAGTTTTGAAAAAGAGCTTATTTTTTATTTAAAGGAATGTGATAGTTAATTCCTATGCTAATATATTCATTCACCTATTAATTAGCTCATTTTTATGACAACCAATGTGTTATAAGAGCCAGGAAATGATTTGGTCTGGAGATTATACTTTTATGGAACTCACATTCTAGGGATAGATACATATAAATATTTTATAAAAGAACTTATTGTTATCCTGAATTTTATATAATAGATCCATTAAAATATATGATCTTCAGGTTGTTATGGCTAAATTAATGAGACAATATTGATATTTTAATATGGGTTGAAGATCATGTCCAAAATCTCAGTTCATTTCTCCAAAATGAGTTATGATTGTTATTAAAATATTAAGAATCAGGCCTCCCCGGTGGCAGCTGGGTTGTGAAGCTGCCTGCAGCCTCTGCAGTGCCGGTTCGATCCCCGGCTACCGGCAAGGGTCCCACATGGCGCGCAGACCTCTCCTGCCGCGCGTGCTGCTCCCCTCAGCAGTGTATTGCGTCAGTCTGCCTGTTCTGCTCTCTGTTCGGGTTCTGGTGAATTCTCTCACCCTCCCGCACTTCTGACTGTCTCCAGTACTTGTATAAATAAATAAAATCTTCAAAAAAAAACCTTATAAAAAACAAAATATTAAGAATGAAATTACTGCCTATACATAAGGCATAGTCTTTATAAGTGAAATATCTAATATTTTAATTTTTCCTCAACAACTAATATGAGCAAGGTGCTAAGGAGGAAAATAAAACTCATATATTTCTGTTTCTCTATTTAAATACATTTAGAAAGAAGAAAAGTTCTGAATAAAATAGATACACAACAAAACAGGTTGTTTTAGTAAGCTTTATACTGATAATGGCTAAAACCCCATTTTTAACTACTTGCATGTTGACTGATTTTATTTATTTATTATTTAGTTATTTGTGTCAAAGAACTGGGGTGTAAGCCAGAGGTGCTGGGGGTGAAAGGATTCACCAGAGACAGAGTGGGGAGCAGAACAGGCAGACTGACTGAAACACACTGCTGAGGGGAGCAGCAGGTGACACAGGAGAGGTCTGCTGCGTCATGTGGGTTAGCTCCCTGGCCAGGGTTCAGATGCAGGCCATTGCTGTGATAGCTCTGAGATTTAATCCCTAGGCTATCAGCGTGGCCCTGGGAATTATTTATATGATGTCTCCACAATAAGAACAAATGGGCTGAGTATTTGAGTATCTGAGGAATTTTCTTCCTGAAAAATTGTATAAGTTTATAAGTGCACATGTAGTATTTTGGCCCCTTTGAGGTCTTGTGAGCTTTTATTTATTTATTTATTTTTAAGTTTTGGTTACTTTACAAATAAGAAAACCATGAGGAAGTCACATTAATTTTAATGTTTTCTCCCTAACTTCCTTAAATATTGTCTTCATTAAACAGGTAAATTTATTTTTATAAATGGGGTAAATGATATTTTATAGACACTTTCTGAAAAGTTGAAACTGGAAGACTCTGAGCCTATTTAGCTGTGACTTTAATCATTCATCCCATCCCATCTACCTGAAATTGTATAATTTTGGAATAAAGTCAGTTCTGGGGAACCAACAGGGCAACTATTGTAGCATATACTTAGCAGTTCTTAAATATCAGGATGATTATGGTTGCTTCTACAACTGTATATATAAGTCAGACATTCATCCCCATCACACAGAAGAGGAATCTGAGGTTCACACAAAGAAGTGAGTGGCAAAAGCTAGAGAGCTGCTAATTAACTTTGCTCAGGTCAGACCTTTCTTGCTATAACTCTGGTTCTTTTTACTGCAGAGGTGTCTGGTATGGTGCATTAGTCCATTAGTCCACAAGCCATTAACTTGTGCATTTGTCTTACCCAGACTCCAGGATCATCTGCCGAAAATGTCCTTGGTGCTGGTGAAGATTATCAAGAAGCACCTTTCTAATCCCAGAGTAAAGCCTAATCCAAGTCTTAAAATCATACTACGAGTTGTGCATTTTACTGCTTTGTATCCATTATCTAATTTGATTAGAAATGGCTTTCATTAAAAATAAAATATATTAAATAACTAACTTAATTTTCTTTCATTAAACTAATGGACAGGAGTAAAGCACAGAAGATAACATCAAACTCCACCAGGTTAAAGCCCTACCTAGCCAATTTATTCTCTTGCATTTGAACTCTGTTTTGAGTTTCCTCAAAGCCATTATTAAGTGGTGCTGTGTGTGACACACTGAGTCACTCCTTTCTGCAGCCATCCAGGTGCTGCCTGCCACCGGGTAATTGGTCCAAGGTCTGCATATGGGTCTTGATAGAGCCATTCTCATAAAACTGTGGTATTTAATTTAGATGAACAAAGAGACAGGCAATCAGCTTAGACATTTAAAGGCTGATCTCTCTTTGGTAGCAGCTGCTTGGTGGAGCCTGTCAGGAAGTAGATGGTATTGGCATTTGGAAGCTGAGTCACCTTTAGGAGACATGATTATGTTTTCTCCAAAAAATATTGATATATAGGAGTGATTAAAAAAAATACTTATTTAATTTTTATCTAGATGATGTTTGCGGTTTGACAAGTATTTCTTTTTCTTCTACTGAAATAGAGAGGGAATTAAAAAAAAAAATGGATAAGAAAGTGGATAGGGAATATGGATACATTCTGTGGTTAGGTTTTTATTTTGGATAATTTACCGCATAGCAAGTGTCATGAAAAATCTCCTTCAAATGACAATTTAAAAGTCATTTGGTTTTAAAGGTGGTAGATGTCATTTCATAAAAATAACATTAAAATCAGGGGAAAGGTTAGCCAATTGCTGTGACATGGACTTAAAGACGGGTGGGTTCAATATGGTCCAGGTCTGACAGGTGTAGCAATTTAGAAACTACATTCAACTATATTGGGTCAAGAAAAATAGTCAGTAAATCTAGTGATGGTTAAGTGCATGAATATTTGAGTCACAGTAACCAAGTTTATTTTTGATAATCTGAAAGAAAAATAAACTGAATCCAGCTTTACCTGGTTTATGTAGAGAGAGACTTATGAAGTGACCAGAATTCTTTTGCTAGCACATCAGGGCACCGAAATCTTCTCTGAGTAATGCTGGAGATAGGCTGGCATTTATTTTCCCTAAATTTTCTTTTAGTAATTGTTTGAGAGAATAATTTTATTATATATTTTCTAATGGAATAGAGTGGTAATTTATTACATCTCCTCACTGTGAAGTCAGAGAATATATGAATTCCAATTCCTCTTCAAGATATAACTTGCTTGACTTTAGGAAAGTTTCTTGAACTACCTCAGGTCCATTTCAGTTGAACAGAGAAGGTAATAATAATTTATTAATAGACATTTTCAAGACATAGAGATAATGTGTATAAAACATATACTACAGAGTCAAGCACATTTAATAGTTATTAAATAAATGATGGTTATCACCTCACCAAGATCACAACTATCCCCACAGTGCTTGTCATCATCCTCACCAAAATCATCACTGTCATTATTGTCACCATCATCATCATCATCCTATCATCATATTAAAATTTATTATAATTTTAGACATATCATTATTAGATTGCCAAGTTCTACTTTCCTGATTGTTTTGGGAGGGATTTGACCCATAAGGAAACTTCTGCTAATCTCAAGCATTATATAAGAAGTTATAAATCTAAATCTAAGAAGTAAGTATATCACTTACTTAAAGGAAAATATGTATATATGTTCTGAGAAAGCCCCACAATGTGAACTTATGTTGTATATAAATGATATTTTATAATGTATTAAATTTTAACTAGACTCTTAATATTCATTTTAGAAGAAAGTAGAATGGCTACTTTTTCTGAACACATCCTGCTTCCTCTCTTCTCTGAAAGTTAGTCATTTGAGTTTCACAGATTGCAAGATGGGGTTAATATTGTTAATTAATTTTTAAACCTCAATTAATGGGTATTCAGCTGAGATTCAAACTCTAAGGCAGTGTCCTTGCAATGACAATGAATGTTTATGATCCGTACCTCTTAGAAAACACAAGCCCTTAAGTATGGAGGATTGTAGTTCAAAAATGTCCTCTGAACACTGTAACCCAAAACTCTTTATTTCCATTTCACAACAAGCTATGCCAAACTTGTCCACCTTTCATGTTACCACTTCTGTGTGAAATATAAGACTAAGCTAAATCATGTTTTTTTTTTTTCATTTTATATATACTTTTACATCATTTTTCATTTTTTTCACAATGCATGCATTTCCATCTCCTAGGTATTTATCCAAAGGACACAGAAACATTAATTCAAAAGGGCACCTGTACCCCTATGTTTATAGCAGCACTATTTACAATAGCTAAGCTATGGAAACAACCCGAATGCCCCAAAATAGATGACTCAATCAAGATGTGGTACATATACACAATGGAATATCACTCAGCAGTCAAAAAATATAAACACATGCAGTTTGCAGCAACATGGATGGAGCTGGAAGGGATCATGCTCAGCGAAATAAGCTGGAAAGATAAAGATAAATCACCTTTGATCACTGAATAATATTCCATTATGCATATATACAACATCTTCTTGATCCAGTCATCTATTTTTGGGCATCTGGGTTGTTTCCAGGTTTTAACTATTGTAAATAGTGCTGCAATAAACATAGGGGTACAGGTGTTCTTTTGAATCAATGTTTTTGTGTCCTTTGTAGATCCCTAGGAGTAGAATTTCTGGGTTGTACGGTAGCTCCATTTTTAGTAGACTGAGGAACCTCCAGACAGCTTTCCATAGTGGTTGGACCAGTTTGCACTCCCACCATAATTAAAAAAAAAAAAAAAAAAAAAAAAGAAAAAAAAAAAAGAAAAGAAAAAGATAAATCATAGTTTTTGAGCAAATGCCCAGTACTGCTTGATTATAACTTACCAGGTTATAACTAAAACTCTACTCAGAGATTGTCAAACTAATGCATTTGAAATTTTCCATAACATTATTAATCAACGAATGGCAAGAAGAGGTATAATCCTAATCAGTGATCATGGAATAGGACTGTTGGACGAGAGTTGGTATTTCTGTTAATGTAATGGTAACTCCTTATGTGTCACAATCTATTATTCTCCATACCAGAGGGCCATATTCATAGTGGATCTTTTATTTATCAATGTCTGACAAACTAGTATTATTTCATCTGTGCAAATTTTCTTTCTTGTTTTTGAAAGAAAGAATTTTATAACTATGGCAGCATTTTGATTTATATTTTTATTTATTTTATTTATTTATTTATACAAGCACAGGGTACAGTCAGAAGCGCGGGAGGGTGAGAGAATTCACCAGAGCCAGAGCGGGGAGCAGAGCAGGCAGAAGGACCGAAGCACACTGCTGAGGGGAGCAGCGGGCGGCAGGAGAGGTCTGCGCGCCATGTGGGACCCTCCTCCGGTGGCTGGGGAGCAGCCGGGGATCAAATTGGTGCTGCAGAGGCTGCGGGCAGCTTCGCAACCCAGCGCTCAACCGCTGCGCCACCGGGGAGGCCCACTATGGCAGTATTTTAATAACAAATATAGACTCTGAATTGAATACTTTCCCAAATAGAGTAATTGTAAAGTTATTATTGAATTCAATATTTAAAGTAAATATGACATTTCTCTCTGGGACAACTAAAAATGATCTTTCTTTGATCTTACTAAGGTGTGAGTAGAGTTCAAAGTATGTCTAGCTAAATATCATGAAAATCATTTAATATGTTCAATGTGCATTGTACTGTGCTAAGGACTGGGGGAGTTCAAAAGATGAATAATCTGCATTCTCTAGCATTAAAGAAGTCATAGTCCAGTGGGAATAAAATTAATAAGAAGAAGATGTAATGATTGGCATGATACTGATAGTTCAATTTGCAATGGAAGTGAGCAGGGGACAATCATGGTTTTGATTCTTTTGAAATATCTAAGTGCATTTGACAAGTAGTAATGAATTATAAGAACATAAGAGTAAGCAATAGTTTGGCTAAGACTATTTTGAAAGTGTTATTTATATTACGTAGACTGTTTAAAAATAAATAATGGAATTAGAGTAACATTCAGCATTTGTGGAGCAGTTGTTTTAGAACAGGGACTGTAACAAGTGCTTTATGTATGTGATATTAAATCCTGGTAGCAGCCCTGGTGTGTTGGTGTTATTCCTGCTTAGGTAAATGAACATCAGGTACTAATATCCAGTGTTGCATGCAAGTAAAGAGAGCTGGGATTTTGAATCCATACCTGTTTAAATTCAATGTCTGGTGTTATGCAAGTGGTGTTCCATGACTTCAGAAAAACAAGTAAATTTATCTCCAAAGAAGGTGCTAAGAAGAGAGTTTTGGAGACGTGAGAAGAAGTTTACTAAACTGGAGCTTTATAAGACTGCTACAGTCTTCCCGCAAAAAGTGGTTTTGAATTAGAATCATAAGGTAAAACTGAAGCTTTTAGGGGGGAAAGGAAGCCCTGAATGAACTCCACAAACACAGGTTTTATGGACCCCACCCTCATCCCCAACCAAAGAGGTCCAAGACACCAAGGACTAGAAATCCCATAGTGTCATCACCAGCGAAGGGAGGGTTGCTGGGATCTGAGGGTGGCGCTAAGCAGACAGGCTTGTTATATAACAAGAAGCATATGGGCCTTGGGAGTTGTTGGTTTTTCGCTAAACTTCAGTGTGCTTATTGGGGGCCCAGCTCAGCGGAACTGGTAGGATGCAACCAGCAATTTCTCTCTCTTTCTCCCTGGGTTATTCTTTTCTTCATTACACCTTTCTGTAAATAAACTCGTTACAGTCCCTTTTAAGAGCGTGGGTGAGGACCCACTCTTGGGCCAACCCATTTCACATTGGACCTGTCCTGTAACATTTTGGCACCCAAAATCTTTGCCACTTGCTCACTGTTAGGTGTCTACATTATTTATCTTCTCTGAGCATCTATAAAAAGAATGTTAACAAGGCAGAGTTTGCAAAATTGCTGGGAGGATTAAAGTAAAACA